TGTTGCACTAGGCAAACATGTTGCACTAGGCAAACAACCTTGAAATCCTATGAATTGTTGTTTAATTCTAAGGAATGATTTAGCTGGGAAAGATATGTTCAGATGGTCGTGTTGCCCACCGTGCTAGTTTCAAGCTCATTGTCGTGACGAGTTTAAGTTTTCTAGGGTGTCAAGTTATGATGTCAAATCCAACGGCCTATAGTTGTAGTTCTTCAGATATTTTATAAATAATATGCTGAAATTGTATAGTGTATAACATAACAGTAGAATATGTAACACAAGAGAAGCAGTAGAGTTTGCAGTAAATAAAACAGTACAACATGCGGTAAATAAAAAGTAGACGGTACAGCAAGAAAGTGATTACAAGAAATTAACATGATGTAAACATAAATCAAACCTGCATACCTGGGGGATTCGCTGTTCCTTAGATGTAGTTGATGCAACAGGTACAAATAGAACAGGTTGAAATCCATCATATAAACGAAAGCAAAAGAAGAAAAGAAACGTCACCCGGAAAACTTGAGAAAGAATGGTAAATGACCGGAAAATTCGAATGGAAAATTCGGGAAAAATCAATGAATAATCCATGACGAAAAGCTCTAGAAAAATTAACGGGTAACAATTCAAATAAAATCATAAAAAAAAAACTTAGGAAAATCCCGGAGAAAAGACGAGTGCTTTATCCAAAAATTTCAATAAAACATATGAAAAAGTCCAAAAAGAGGGGACCGCAAGCACTCGGGTCGGGGCTAGGCTCAGATATATGTTTGTACTAGAGGGTCGTCGAAGGCTACTTGGTTACTCGGATGTATAAAGCCCGCGACTCAACTAGAAGGGTGTCATATCGAACCTAACTTAGGAGGGTACTCCTTAGCCCAAACAGATAATTAACAGGTGGACAATCAATGTTTAAAATGTATTTAAAATTTATATTTTTAGCATGCACATAGATTTTAAGCATACAAAAGTGGGTTATATCAATTTTTTTTGTAGCGAAAAATATATTTTTGTTTAGAAAAGGTGTATTTGTTCTTGTCAAATTTGTTTTTTTAATCAATTTTGAAAAGTGTAGTTGTCCACGAGTCGATCACACTGTCGGACGTAGGACTACCAATAACCTAAGAAGGTACGGGTCAACTCCCGCTAGTCTTATGTCGGTGAATGATATTACATCATACGGTTCACCGGGTCCGTGGGGGGTGTCCCGAAGTCGTAGGATGGAACATTATTCTGCTCTATCACCGGTGTACCTTTGTCATCACCGCCTTAAGCCCCAAAACAAAACCGACCTAATTGCGACCTTGCTTGATGGTTTCACGTATAGCAAAATGCTATACGTTGACACTTATGTATCGGACATAAACATAAAAAAAAATGAACCAAGAAGCAAAGAAAAAAAAAGAATAAAAATGAGGTGAGAGAGATGAGACACTAATCCACCTAAAACACCGAAAATACGGAGGATGAATCAGTTCCCAAAACTCATGACGAAAAGACTTGAAAAATTAAGGCTCAAAGTCCTTGAATCAATCCAAAAGGATGTCATTTTCTCGCTTTATTAGAATTGGAGCAACCCAAGGAGGGTGTCCTTTCCAAATCCTGTTTCGAACGAGTCGAAACGGGGTGAACCGACATGACGACCACCCACAAATGACCTCCCTGACATCGGTGTCTAACCTCCAAAAACATCTTCCATAGGCTCAATTTGACTCAGCTAAATGCTTTCGCAAATAAAAAAACTCGTAACTCTCCAAACCCCTCAAATCAAGCAAAAGGAAAGTGACCCAGGGGAAACCATCACTAGCATTTCCAAACCCATATCAAAATTAAGGTTTCCCAACTCCCAAATTAATCAATAGCTTCATATATCAAATAAACATAGTCTTCCAATAAAGCCACATAAATGCTCACGGTCGGGGTCAATAGGGAAGAGGAAGCAACCACCAAGGATCTCGGCTAAGTCCACCAACAGAACAAGGCACTCACGGCTAAGGCAACAAACAGGGCCAAAAGAAGCTCACGACCAAGGCAACCCAAGACACAGGAAAGGCTCACGGCCAAGGCAAGAAACAGAGCCAAAAGAGAGTAGAGGGTCACGGGTAAGGCCAACAAAAGCACAACCGAGCTCCAAACTAGCTCACGGGTAGGAGTCAGAACAAACCAAACCAAATTCCATATAGGAATCTCACGGCCACAGATGGCAAGCGGGAACCCAACACAACACAAATCCACGGGTGGGGAGCAAAAAGGAAGCAGACCTATGTCTATTGATCTCACGGTTAGAGGGCAAAACCGAAGGCCACAAGGGCAGTGCCCATTGAACAAGGATCATGGCCAAAGTAAGGAAAATCAGCCCAAGCACAAGAAAGTTTCACGACCAAGGCAACCCGAATCAATTCCATGAGGATCTTTGATATACATAAGAGAGTACAAAATATAACCATAATTTTGGGATGACAAATTTGATCCGCCAACAATCATCCAAGTAATTCGAGCCCAACAAGAAGGACCAAATCAAATTAAACAACATAGGTCTCACGAATAGGAGTAGGAAACAACTCAGGATAGCCACTAAGGCTCACAAATAGGAACCCAAAAAAAAAAACACAAGCTAGACCCTCGGGTAAGGGCCTAAGACAAGCCAAACTGACCCCTCAGCCAGCCCTCGGATAGAGACAGAAGCAAGCACAGGGCAGCCACCAAGACTTTTTGTTAGGGACAAGTATAAAGCCTAAAAATAGGCTCTCTGGTAGGAGCTAAACCAGCACACTGAGCACCCAGACAAAGCCAAAACAGACCCCTCAAGGTCCATAAATGAAGTTCAAACAACTAGGACAAAGCCTTAACCAAAACCAAAACCCAAAGCTCAACCTCCAACCCTTCCAAAGTGAAAACCGAGCTCTAATAGAGACCAAACCCAACCTTTGAAGGCCAACAAATGAAACCATAATAACAAATCCACACCCAGCCACCTCATAATGAAACCGAGCACCAATAGAGGTTAAAACCCAACCAGAGTAAAAGTTCAAAGCCCATGCCATCCAAGGGTTAAAGAATACTCATATGCCTTTGAAAGATCAAAATATGTAGCCAAAATATGTTTTAAACTGTAACAGTAGCATGAAAAATAATTTTAAGCTACCAATATAATTGTTCTAAGCATGAAAGATGTTCCTTTCCCCTTCTCAATGAGTCAAACCAAACTATCAAAGCAAGATATAAGACACTTCCAAGTGAAATAGATTTTCTCACAACATGTATTTCAAGTAAGAAAAAGCTACAAGGAGCCAAACCAAACAGCAGCTAAAGCTCAGAACCCGGCCACAACAAAATCTAGAAAACATCCTCATGCCTTCAAAACATCAAAACATAGGGCCACCCGTGTTTCGAACAAGAACAGCTGTAGAACTTTCCCAAATCAAGATGAATTTCTTCATAGCATGCATTTCATGCCAGGAAAATCCACAAGGAATCAAAAACCGAATTCCACATATATATGAAAAGCAAAGCAAGTTTTCCAATACTTCATACTAAGCAAGAGTGAATAAAAAAAAGAGAAGCCTCGTAGTGCATCCCAACATGTATTGCAGAGGAGCATATGTTATCTCAGAGCCCATATTCATCACATTTCCAGTTGCTTTAAGTAAAAAAGAGAAAGAAAAGAGAGAAGCTAATAACATGCCACATTCTATTAGTACAAAGCCTTAACCAAAACCAAAAGTCAAGTCTCAACAAAGCTCAACCTCCAACCCTTCCAAGGTGAAAACCGAGCTCCAATAGAGACCAAACCCAACCTTTGAAGGCCAACAAATGAAACCATAATAACAAATCCACACCCAGCCACCTCATAATGAAACCGAGCACCAATAGAGGTCAAAACCCAACCATAGTAAAGGTTCAAAACCCATGCTATCCAAGGGTTAAAGAATACCCATGTGCCCTTGAAACATCAAAATATGGAGCCAAAATATGTTTTAAACTGTAACAGTAGCATGAAAAATATTTTAAGCTACCAATATAATTGTTCTAAGCATGAAAGATGTTCCCTTCCCTTTCGAGGAGCCAAACCAAACTATCAAAACAGGATATAAGACACTTCCAAGTGAAATAGATTTTCTCACAACATGTATTTCAAGTAAGGAAAAGCTGCAAGGAGCCAAGCCGAGCCGCAACTAAAGCTCAGAACCCGGCCACAACAAAAGCTAGAAAACATCCTCATACCTTCAAAACATCAAAACATAGGGCCGCCACGTGTTTCGAACAAGAATAGCCGTAGAACTTTCCCAATCAAGATGAATTTCTTCATAGCATGCATTTTTAAACCAAAAAGGAATTTACGATGCTAAAACCGAGCCTTCCACCTGTGTGAAAGACCAAATAAACCTTCCAATGTCTCATGCTAGATAAGAATAAATGAAAAGCTTCATGATACATATCCTAACATGCTTGCAAGAGAAGTTAACATTGTCTCAAAGCCATGTTTCAACCCTGCTAATTGTTTCCAATAGAAATATGCTACAATAAATAGAAACATGTCATAGCTTCACCATATTAAGCAAGTAATCAAGTCTAACTCCTAGAACATGCTCACATCTCCATTTCTAGATGCTTGAGTAACAAATATTTCAATGCTTGAGTAACGAGTAACAAATATTTCAAAAATATAGGTGCAATATCACCCTAGCATGCTATACCATCCACAACACCAAGCTCAAAGGCTCGGCAGAGGGAAAAACGAAAAGAAGCAAGACACATGAGGGGGGAAGAAGGTACCTCTTTGCATCAAAAAGCAACACAGAAATTTTAAAAGCACTCAACTTCAATCCTTCCTCCAATCCTTCCTCCTCAATCCTTCCTCCAACAGTAAGAGGAAGCCAACCCAAGTACAAAAAAGCTAAAGAAGCAAGTGAGAAAAGAACATAGCAGAGTTTTCCCTCCCTCTAAGAGATTTTTCTGCCCGCTGAAATGCTCTAAGTAGAGCTTAATATAGACAGGATAAGGAGGAGCGATCGAAAGATCGTAAACGGCTCGAGGGAACGAGCAGAGCAGACGCCCCATGCGGGCGGCTCGAGAGAGGCAGTGGATGAGATCCTCGCGGTGGGTCGTCCGCGAGATGGTCTCGCGTGCAAGAGGCGAGCGCGGGAGTGAAGGTCCAACGACACAAGAAGGACGCGGGCCAGACGGGCCAGGCGAGCGAACGAACAGAGCTAGGGTTGAGGCCCACGTGTTCGAGAAAAGCGATGGGGAGGGGGGTAGATAGATTTAGATTTTAATAAATAATAATAATAATAACAATATCATTTATTATTATAATTACACCTAAATTATATATCCTTCCCCAAACACGTCGGCGCAGTCCGTTTCATCAACCGAAGTCGTTTAGGCAACCTCGTCCACGATCAGGACAAAACACGTCACGACCCAAATTACGTCAAAAAAAACTCGGTGCAAGCTCAATTAAACAAGACGGTGCAGAGTGTGACGGCGTCAGGTCAATGCGTATAGTCAATCCTAAGGCCAACAGTCCTATAGGGATTCTCCTTGAGCTCCCTCATAGTAGCCCCACCTACTAAGTGCTAGAGGTCAAAAGGTACCATGCGGAACGTCAAGTCGAGCAAAGAAAAGCTCAGAATTTCTAACGGGGAGGGCTCCTTTGCTAGTTTTTTAGGAATAGTCGATAGGAAAGTCCTACGTCTAGACCCTAGGTTATCAAAAAGGAGAGACTAGACCTCCGCCAAAAGTGAGGTCAATATGTATATAAACCAATATTTACCTTTCTGCATCAACCCTTGCCTCTGCTTGCTTCGCCCAAGAAAACTACTTCCTTGACGGATCACAACACCTGAACAAGTCGTCGTTTCCCTCGCTTGCTTGATGTTGCAATGCACTTCACTTGAAATGAGGGACAATGCACGCTCTTTACTTCCTATCCTTCGCCATCCCTCGACGACACCTCTTTCTTCGGCTTCAATTGCCAGCTTTGTTGCCCTCATTGGGCCCTAGCACCTCATCTCCTTTGTTCGACGACAACAGACGTTGTCGCTAGTAGACATCGTCGCCTTTGGCTTCGGTCGATGGACATGGAAGACCTAGCTTGTGTGCGTTGGTCTCCTACCTTTGTACATGTCGATCGACTCCCCAGGTAAATCGTTCTCGCTCATGTTCGGCGTCTACTACAAAGCCTCTCTATCTCGCCACTTCCTCCCCTCATATGTGTCGATTTATAGAACGAAATCATCCTTTCGTGTTCCCGACAGCTCACTTTATCACACACTCTGACTCCCTCATTTTCTCCCTTGAAACGAGGCATTATAGCCTTCCTCCCCTGCTTTTCACATAGACACAAGCAATCCATTGTCAAACCATGTGATGAACTTATTTTAAAAGTTATTTTCAAAATTGCTGATTTTTCTTTATTTCTCTTATGGCTTTATTTCGTTTCTGAAGAATGCTCATGTTTATCTGAGAGACCTAACTGAATGTGTTTTGGTCAAAGCTTTTTGTTGATTGCTATTTTGTTACATTTCAGGATATCTTTACAATTTTCAGTCTAGGGAATTTTTCGATCTTAGTCATGGACATGAGCCATCCGAAGGTTCTGCAAGATTCGGAGGTTTGTGGGATAATATTTTTCTTGATTTTCTTAGAAGTTATGAGTTCATATTTCCATGGAATTTCTTTAGGTTGCTTCTTTTAGGATAGGGAGGCCATCAATTTTTGAGCTTTAGTTTGCTATAATTGTTAGTTGTGGCCTAAAGTCATCTGTGAATTAAATAGTTTTTTAGTTTCATTCTAACTATCGATCTTATTTTCTATTTAAGCTGCGTCTAAGGTTAATTGCCTCTATGCTAGTTAAATATTTGTATTGTTCTTACATTTTTTTCAATTATTTTGCATATCATATCCTTGCATATCATATCCTGAATTAGAGTTTTTTTTTTTTCTATTAAATTCTCATGTTCAGACAATTATGTTTCTTATTCAGATGTTTACTTCTATCGTTAGGTTAAAGGGAAATGCTTTAGTTTTGGTCCTTAAACGCTGGTTTCATTGCAGGTGCAAAATTTGTATTTATCGCTTATGAAGGAGAAATGATTCTTTATCGTTTTCTTGCACTGGTTAACACTCAAATATTAGCTTGTCGTTCCCAGGCGTGAAACATTATTTTAGCTAGTTCTGAAGTTTCTTTAAATGTAGGTCCAATTGAATTCTTTTGCTGATATTATGTTTGAAAGATGCATTTTTTCATAAACATTTATAGCAATGAAAGACATTGTGAATCAGAAAGATATATGAACCTACTTTTGAATATTCTACACGACATTATGCAAAGGGAGCAGTGGAAAACAAATATTCATTTTTTTTACGGTTCTAAATGAATGATTTGATTGTACATAAGGTGATACTATGGTTTAAGACTCGGGATTCATATGTGACATGCTCTTAGGATCATTAATCCAACATTATGCCTTCTATTCCATTGCAACAATTCAAATTTCCTAGCCAAATTTAAGTTTAGTTGTTCGCTGAACAGAAGTACTCTATATTTGCAATATAAGTATTAGAACGTAGCATTATTTCAACAACTGATTCCTATAAGTATCTTGAGGGAAAGAAATGCATTCTTCAAGATAGCTTTAAGCCTCGTGAGCTTGAGTCGCAAAGTTCTATAATACCTAATGTTCTAGTTATATGCCAACATATTAATCGAATACAATTGGTTAAAAGATTGCAAGTTTTTTTATGAGTAGCCGAGTCTATTAAAGAAAGAATGAGAAGAAATCAGATTAAAACAATGAAAAATAGTGCAACCTATAGATTTTTTTATGCATTATTGAGATTTTGACTTTGGAATGAGTTTTCCAAAGTATCATTTTCGCATAAAATAGATCATCAGTCCATTGCTCATGCCTTAACATAGGTTTCTCTTGGATTATATTAAAAAGTAGCTCTATGTTTATGTAGGGAATATGACTAAAAGTTCATTAATTTACATGTGCCGCTTCTCTAGTATTTGATATTATCAAGTATTGAATAATAGATCAGCATATATTTTCTTGTGATAATAGACATCAATACACCAGCAGCAAACGGAGTTGAAGGCATTTCAGGACGAGAAATGCCCGGAGTGAGACTTCCCTGAACCAAGCAGATTAGCCATGCCTAAAATAGTGAGTTATCTTTTTAGGCTTTTCCTTCAGTGGAAAGCTTTAAAGCACCGTCATATATGGTGAAAACTTATAGATTCATATTGAGAGACTTCAAAGTGTTGTCAACCATGGAGGTTTAAAGTGCACTTCGTATATTTTTGCGATAAATTCAACTGTTAGATGAGAAATATTCCTTTGTAAATTTCTCATTTTTTACCTTTTAAGTAATTGTTATTAAAAGTCGAAGCGCCTGCATTCTGGTACAAAAGGCATTAGTTTTACTACTGCTAAATTCTAAGATTTTTATCAAAAGTTTTAAGAATGCTTTCTTGGGGTGCTAAGCTTAGCATTTTAAAAATATTAGAGAGAGGAATGAATTATTTATTCTAAGTTTTACGAAAGTTGAAACTGTTCATGCTTCTAATGTCCTAGTTAGTTTTTAATGATATTGTACTGTCTTAAAAATAGTTTGACCAGTAGTACAATTCCTTGCAAATTATGGACTAATGTTTGGTTGTATTTCTACTAATGCCAAACAAGTTGATGACATGCGGTTCACCTGTGGCAGGTTCAACCGGCTGGTCCATCTGGAAAAGTTTTGAACCGGTTCAAGATGTAGCCGGCCTTAGGTTTGGGTTAGGGCTGCGACCCAAGGGGAGGGGTCTTGTAGTTATCTATTATTATAAATATGTTCTTTTCTTTGTTTAGGATTAATTTTAGTTGAGTTTTCTGTCGGGACAACCATCGGCGTCTTGAGCTCTTTCTTCTAAGGTTGTATCCAAGGGCGATTGGTGTCTCGGTTGTATCTTGTTCCGAGTTGGTGATTACTCTCTGTTTTCCGCAAACCCCCCTACACCATTGTTGTTATATCTTCTCTTGCTGCAGTAATCCCGGGCCACTCTTTGTTGTTCCCCTGCAAGAGCAATCCATTGAACCTACCACAGCCTTTTCCCTACTGCCCATCACCTACAACCACACCTCCTCACCCTTGCTGCAGCTTCCTTCATTGTTGTCCCCGACAACTCCAAGCCGCCAACTTTCACTCTTCCATGCGATACCCAACAGCAAGCCTCCCTCCCTATCGTAACCCAGTACCAGCCAGCAATCCATCAAACTGTCAGCCTCAGCCTTCCTACAACCATCCAGTAGCCAGGCCTCCTCTAGCCATCTACTTGATGCCCCTCCACCACACAACCCACAATAACCGCCACTCCCCCTCTAATCACAACACCATCGCTCCGACTTATGCTCTAGTGCGTTTGTGTCATTTTCCTTTTTTCAAATTTTTGGGATATAATCCCCCTTTAATTTCAACAATAATATTTTTTTTTCATTGTGATTTTAGGTTAACTTCAGTTTCAATTTGTATCAGTGCTTGCCTAATCCTAGTCTTATCCTAGGGTTTCCTAGCATCTGTCGTATCCAAACCATCTCCACCAAAAAAAATTTCTTTTATATCCCCAAATACCCTCTCCACTTTCATAAATCTCAAACCTTAACCATGTCACTAAGGAGATATATGCTTAAGCCTACCAGGAAGAGATACAACGAGAGCTCTGTCGACTTCAGTAGAGGCTGGCGGAGATTGAAGAGGGAACCTAAGGGGAAATCACCTTCAATCGTGATTTGCAGAGTCAAAGACGAGAAAGGGGCGAGGACCTGAATTCCTTCCATGGGAATGACTTCAGTGATGAGAAAGACAGAGGCGACGCTTAGAAATTCATTTTCAGAGGAGGCCAAGAGAAAACATATGGAGGACAAAGAGACTGTGTAATCAAGGTGGATCTATCAGAATTCGATGGAGGTATGGATCCAGACGATCTCATCAAATGACTACAGTTAGTTGAGAGAATCCTCGAGTACAAATAGGTGCTAGAAGACAAGAGGGCAAAGCTCGCAACCATCAAGTTGAAAAAGAGCTCTTCCTTGTGAAAAATTTTGTAGAGGTAGAGAAAGAGAGGGCAGTGACAAGATTATCAAGTGAGAGAAGATAAAGAAGTCGCAGTGAAAATACATACTGCCTAATTACTGCTAGGATATGTTTTTGAGGCTCGCTTACCTGCATCAGAGAGATCTATCAGTGGAGGAGTTCACGACACAATTTGACTAGTTGCATGAACCAGATGAACATATCATAGCCCATTACCTAGGGGGCCTGAAGCCGATTATGAATAATGTTGTGCAGTGCAACCTTATTGTTCACTGGGAGATGTCTAAAACTTAGCATTGAAAGTTGAGAGACAATATAAATGGAGCAGGCGGCCCCCACCATTCACACAACCACCTGCAGAGGGAGACATCAGTAAGAACATGCCTCGAGTTGAGAAAAATAGTCAGGATAAGGATAGAGTCACTCAAAGTGAGAAGAAACTCGAGAAAAGTAGCACGCTTACGACAATTCGAGACTGAAAATGCTTCAGATGCCATGGATTTGGTCACGTCACCTTCAATTGCCCAACGAGCCAAGTTATGTCCTTTACCGAGTAGGGTGCAGTGAATAAAGTTAGCGACGAAGAGGCAGTTGAAGAATAGGGTGAGGTTACCATCTTCTCGTGGTTCGACGAGTCTTATGAACTAAGAATACAAGACCAAATGACTTTGTCACAACATATTCTACACCCGTTGTACGGTGAACTGAAAGATGTGTAGTCTCATCATCAATGAAAGGAACAACAAGAACTTGACATCTATGTTGATGTTGGAGAGATTGAGCATCATGACTCCGAGGTATTCCCAACAGTATTCTTTGACGTGGTTGAAGGAGAGCGGGGTCATCATTGATAGGAGGTGGCTAGTGGAGTTTTCGATTGGAAGCCAGCTACAGGATCAGGTGTGGTGTGAAGTTGTACCCATGGATGCTTGTCACCTTTTGTTAAGGAGAGTGACAGTATGACCGCAAGACTCGACATGATTGATACAGGAACACCCACTCCTTGATCAAAGATGGTAAGTGTATCGTCCTTCTATATTCTATGGAGTCTAAGATCACAAGTGTCTTTGCTATTTGAGAAGCCTCAGTGGGATTAGTTTTGGTGACAATAGAGGATGATAGGATTGAAACGTAGATTCCAAATATGAGATAGTCACGCAGAGAGCATGTCAGGATATCACATATTTACTATACCACCATGGCCGCAAACATTCAAAGTGATTCAGACTAACATAACCTCGGATTGGGTTGAACCGACCTTGTATTGTTTTTGGAGAATTCAACAGAACACACTTTGGCATGGAACCCTAGTTCAACTCAGTAGAGTCTTCCCCTAAATGGAGGTTTTCTCGAAATTGCGGAAAACACTTAGGTGCTTTGGGGTACAGTGCATTCGCCAGTGGGATCCAAGTGCTTCTTGGACCACAGTCGAAGACCCTCAACCCTGGGAGATCATAGCAGCTATGATTCTTTCAATGTGCAGACAAAGGCTTCAACAAATGAGGTCGATACTCTCCCATCACCGAGAAACTGATGCGGGGCTCACCTAGGGAAGCCTAAGTTGACTGGTTCAGTTGGAAAAGTGTCGAACCAGTTCTTTTCTTTTTTAGTGTTAGTTTTTGTTGAGTTTTCTGCCGTTGTACCTTCTCTTTCTGTAGGAATTCCGGGCAACTCCTTAATGTTCTCCTGCAACCGCAATCCCTAATGCTGCCACTGCTTTTTCCCTGTTGCCCTTTACCCTGCAACTGCACCTCCCACATATGATTTCTCACTGCTCATCTTAGTTATGTTTTAATATGCATTGAGGGACTATTCTATGTATGATGCCTGGAACAATGAAAGTGTACTTGATTGATTTTTTTGCTCTTTTTTTCCATCTTGTTCCCAAACCTCTTATTTGGTCACTGAGATAATTTGAAAGTCAGATACAACAATATAGCATGTGCTATGTACGATAAATCCTATGAGCCCATTTAACATGTATTATTTGGTTTGTCCATCCTTGCCTTGCAACATGAAGGACACCAGTAGTATGCATCGCCAGGCTTTGCACTCTAATTTGTACTATTGAATTATTGAATATTTGAAGCCAAGATCTGACCGATTTTAAAAATTGGTATGTTTGAATGTTATCAGGGATTTGCATTTTCTTCTCCGGGTTCTTTGTCTTCATCATGTTGAAATTGAAAGTAATAATCTTTCAGCACAAAGTTGGTTTATAGTTTAACAATATTGTGCACCATTTTTCCTTGAAAAGAAATCATCTTGTTTGAAAAGGTAATAATGAAGAATTCAGAAGATTTTAAAGCATATTAAGCTTGATGGTTGTTTTCTTAACATTTTTTGGTTGCTTAACTGAGTATCTTATTGTGTGAAAAGTTGTTTAAGTATGAAAAATTGAAAATAAAAAACTTATAAATGATTTTCCAGGTTAACTTTGTGTTAGGAATGTATAATTATTTGAATTGCATTCAATTTGCAGCATTTTATATCTGGCTTAATTCATGCATATGCATTGTTGTCTCGAGTAATGCTATCCTCCTAAATACTTGCCAATTAGTTGGTTATTTTGTCTTGTTGTTTCTTATTCTGTTCTATTGTAAGAGGAACTTGGATCATTTGTATGATCTGATAATAAAATTTATAATACCTCGCTTTTGATTAGTAACTTGTCCGTATTTGCTGCCTGCATCCAGTAGTTTTAATAAACTATTAAATTCGCCTAATCATTTACTGCTATTTATTCTGTCATGGCTGTATTATTTTATTTCTTTATAGATCTGCCAGCAAATTCACATGATTATTTATGCTATTTTGGCCTTTTTTATGATATTCTTTCTGTATCTCTTTAAAATAATTTTTTTAATATGATAGCTTTATTTATGCAGATTATTTTGTGACCAAATGCGGTGTTTTAATCATGTCATTGTTTGTTTTCTTCACTACTACTATGTCCGTTTCTTTCACACTCAGAGAAACTCAATCTCGCATGCTCAAGTTCACAGGTTTGCTTATTTCAGTTATTCTATATCCATGGAGTATCTAATCGAAATTTTTTTTGCTTTGTTTCATATAGTGTAATGCATTATTTTTATTATATGCAGTGCAGCTTCAACACCATGCTCGCCATCAGCTTCCAACGTTCCAGTTAATCTTTGTGCATGTTATTGAATCGCTGGTTTTTGTGCCGGTGAGTGGATTTTGATCTTACCCCAGTATTTAGGTAGTGGGAAGATTTACATAAGTACCACTTAATTCTTATGCATTTACATATCTAACACCTAAACTTCAATTTTAACTGAAACGGGTGTGAAGATGTGGACTGACGTGGGAGACTTGCTGCAAGTCTTGACCGGTTCAGAGGAGGGTGGTCAACCAGTGGCCACTCCTTAGTTAGCTTATAGTATTTATATATCAATTTTGTGTTCTAGGGGTAGTTTTTCTCGTGATTTCTGTCTCGACAGCCGTTTGCGTTTCCAATTGTCACATCTTGGGTTGAATCCGAAGACGAGAAGGTGCTTTGGCTGTAACTCATCTCAGGACGGTGTTTATGTACCATTCCTTGCTTTCACAACCTTTATCCCAGCCGCCTGACCTGCTGCTGCATCCCTGCTGGAGTTGCTCTCCCAGTCTTCCTCCTGCCTTCCCGCCAGCCTTCTTCCCTTCTTGTTTTACCCCCAGCTACCAAGCCTTCCCTTCCTGCCTTTCCTCTGCTGCCAGCTGCCCATCTCTTTGCTACAGCGCTGCCGCCAGCCACCAGCCGCCCTTCTCTTTGCTGTAGCCTTGCTGACAGTCTTCACTCCCCTTGCCACACTCCAGTAGCCGGCCCTTGCTTACCTTGCTGCTGCCTACCCCATTCCAACCTTCCATCTTCCCCAACTGTAGCTACCTTACCGCAGCCTTCCCACCGCCTTCAACCCCAGCCCTAGTTTGGTGTGTTTTGTGTTTCTTTTGATATTTTTTTATTTTGGTGTTTGTTTGTTGTAACCCCTATTTACTTTCAGTAATAAAAAGTTGTATTTCCTGTCGTGGTTTGGTTAACTCTGGTATCATTTACATATATGCCACCTTATCTATGCTTGAAATTTTTGGGTGGTTTAAATGTAAAATTTAATATTTGGGTGTTAGATATGAATTGGGTCGTATGTATGTGAATGCCTCTTAATATTTATGGATGGATCTTGATGAGACGTATTTTCTACCAATTTTTGTTTGTGATGCCTACACTGCCTTCTTTCTCATATTTTTCTGTCTTAATGTCGCAGATTATGATTGGGATTCTCTTTTTCTTATTTGAATTTTATGATGATCAACTACTTGCATTCCTGGTACTAACTCTTGTGTGGTTGTGCGAATTATTTACAATGATCAGGTCCTCTCTCTTTATCAGTAGGAATCTCAATTTTTTTTCTGCGCATACTTGCAGTATCATCAATACTGCAAGTTTTAGGTGATTAGGCTAGCATTTAACCTTAATTTTACTGTGGATTGCAGTGTTCGGACATCAATCTCGATGCAGTTTTTTCCTCGCTTCTTTTTGCTCTACTTTCTGGTTTTCCATATCTACTTCTTTTCATATGCTTATGGTATGTCTGTCCTCCATTATATCAAACAAATGGTCTTCTAGTAGTTCTTTTTGAAGAATTTCTGAAGATATTTAGGCTCTAATGTTCATTTTTTTTACCCTCAGGTTTTTCATATCTGGCCTTTTCTGCCACTGCTGCATTCATGCAACACTTGATTCTTTATTTCTGGAATAGGTTTGAGGTAATGATACTCATTACATCTTTATTTCTCTAATACGTTTAATTTTTTGAATAAATTTGCAATTTCTGTGGACACATACTTTTGTTTACTGGGAAGTCCTGGAGTAGTGGTTAATTTATTTCTGGTGTATTCTGGAGATCCTATGTTTAGGAGTTATTTGTGCCAGATTCTTCATGTTTTTATTTCCCCGTTTATAAACCATACTTCGTTGTAGGCATCCGATTTATTCGAAGTAAAACCTCACTTAAAACTTTGGTAATTTTACTGTTCTGCCAGGAAGTTGTATGAGGGTGTCTCTTATTGCTGCCCGTCTTTTTGGCTCTTTCCCAGCTGAAACAAATCCAAGGTACAATAATGAAAACCTGATCATTTGTCACAATCCGGCCTAGTGCTTGGAATTTATCAAAACGGGTACAGACAGTCGGACGGGATAAACTAAATTTTCTATATTCTTCTACAATTTAACAGATGAAAGAATCATTACAAATTAAATTAAAGTTGTATAATTAAAATTACCTTGTTGAAGATTGTTCGCGTCTTCTATAAATGTTTTCTCATCTTGCACTCATCTTTTAATAATTTAATTAAACCTAAAATGTTAGTTAAAACAATTGTTAGCTAAATGAGCCAGTAAATACTCATACTTTTAAACTACAATATTATAAGAAAAAAAATAATATGCATATCAGTTAAGCTTCTTTATAAATCAATGTAAATATTTAATGTGTTATTCAAAGATTCTATATCAATATTATAACAATATCATTTCATATCTATACAACCGTCACAAGACACACCGTCGAAAAATTGTGTCAATTAAGACATATCATTATCAATATCCTTTTCCATTTACGTACACGGGTACATTAGTGTTCCCGTGTACTAGCAAGTGATGTTCTATCATAAGCATGTCAATACAAGCATTCAATATAAACATATGTATTCATCGCATTCAATTCAACATACTATAAAACATACATCAACTGCATGAGTAAGTAGCTACAATATCCTTAACGATATGACAAATAAAGAAAAATAATATCTCAATTAAAAAAAAGAAAAAAAACATACAAAAACACATAGTACTCATCTCAATTACGCTTAATTCAATAAGATTTGCCCCGACAGATTTATGTTTGCAAATTTCCAATTTTCATGGGGATCCAACCTTTCTATTTGTTGCATTTGGCGAAAATTTATGGTTGTCTTCAGTGTTGTTGTTCTTCTTGTTTCAAACTGTGATTTTTCAATTGAACAAGATGCCTACACGAAGAAGCGTTGCATGTCCCAATCAAAAACCGGTTGTTGAAGACTTGCAATGTGAAATCAGACATATATAGGAACAACTTACAGTCTAGAAGCAAAGAAATTGAGAAGATCGAATAGTGGAACCAAAAATGGATGGGGCGGAGGATGAGAAAAGTGAATCCATTTCACCATGAATCTTCCAACAATGAAGCCCAACCTCTGCATGCGTGGAGGGAAAGACACAACAAGGTTGTTGATTTTGGAATCAAGATCGATATTCTAGATTTTGAAGGCCAGCTAGATCCGAATGAATTTATTAGTTGGCTACATATGATAGAGCGGATTCTTGAATTTATAGAAGTTCCTCAAGAATAAAGTGTCAAGCTTGTAGCTATTAAATTGAGGGGGAACACCTCTCTTTGATAGGAAAACTTGATAAAAAAACACGACAAATGGAGGGTTGATCCAAGATTATCACTTGGAGAAAAATGAAGAAAGAATTACAAGGCACATTCCTTTGAGAGCAATATCGTCAAATAGGTATTCATTCAGTTACAACACCTTCATCAATAAAAATAATCGGTGGAAGAATATGCTGCTGAATTTGAACTGCTAGGACTGAAATGTAACCTTTAAGAACCCGAAGAACACCATTGCACATTTTTTGGGTGGTCTCTGACCTTCTATAGCCAATGCGGTTCAATTACAGCCCTTTTAGACCCTCCAAATTGCATCAACTTTGTTGTCATGGTTGAACGACAACAAAAATGGAGTAAATCTGCACTCTTATACCACCTTAGGGGGAGAAATCGGTTCCGTCCAGAACTGGATAAAATCGGGTCCAATCGGTAAGAAGAAAGGCGAATCCAACAGTAGTCAAGTTGTCTTTCAGCCATGAGGAGCAATAAAAACGGTTGCAAACCCTTCTTCACCCTTCTTCAGTAAGGTGTTTTTGAATTCATGGTTCGGACATATAGCATCCAATTGTTCTAACCGCCTAATCATTTCATTGGTGGAAAAAAACTGTCCATAAGGAAAAGAAATTCTGGAAGAGGGTTCTGACAACCCTACAGGAGAACAGGTGTTGCATGCGGATGAGGGTGTATAATTAGTCATTCATAGGCAATGCCGAGCCCTTTCTTAATTTAGAATGGCTTCATCACAAATTTCTTTAGGACAAGATGCACCGTGCGGGATAAAGTTTGTAACCGCATCATCGATGGTGGAAGTTGTAAAAAAGTCATTTCTACTACAGTGGTAGAGAAACACGGATTGATCACACAATCACATCCTCATCCTTATTGGCTTAGGAATCAGCTCCAAGTTACTAGACATTGTCCAATACAATTTTCTATTAGCCGAAAGCTCCAAGAGGAAGTTCAATGTGGCATCATTCCTATGGATGCTTGTCATTTGTTGTTTGGGAAACAAATTGTGAAGGCCAATACAATTTGTCCACATCACCTTCATTAACTCTGAACTGTTCATAATGGTTATACCAACACCTACTTTTTTATTAAGGATATAAAACAAATTACTTTGGTTCTATTGAAGGTGGAGGTGCAAGACAAAGCTGAAAATAGCAGTATGGTTGTTACAAACAGTAGTTTGGCTGCTACAAACATTCAAATATTAAATGTTGATGAATGTTTGATGGAGCTTTGATATGCCGACTATGAGATGCAAATTACTTTGGTTTTCTATTTCTTGTATTCCTTTTTTCACAATTCTTGTTGAGCTCATATCTGATGCGGTATTGAGGTGTCTGGGATGTGTCTGAGCCCAAAAAAACTCAGATATATTTTGTAGTGTCCGGGAGTGTCAGACAAGTGTTCATGTTTGATATGTGTCTGACACATGTTTAACACATTTTTAGAGTGTCATTAGTACATAGCATAATGATCTTTGAATTGTGGGATTTTGAACTCACACATTCATCTCATTGAAGTGGTTTTTTTTTTAATTATTATAAGCAAACAAAAATTGGAGAGCGTCATACCTATTTGCACTCTAATCAGGGCATTCTTGGCCTCTAGCATTGTTAGGTTTGTGTTATCGATTTTTGCTCGTTCTGACTAACTTTGTTGAAAATGGAGTTTACATGATAAAAAATCAATTCTTAAATTTTTTAGTTTGAGTATTCAGATGCTGATTTGAAAATTGCTCAACAACAAAGCCTTAATCTCACTACGTGTGGTCGGCTACATGAATCATTTTTCTTCATTGCGTCCTATTTAGTGTCATATTTTCATTTAGTTCTAATAAATTAAGATCACTTTTTATACAATAAGCCACAAGTCTTCGTAGGTCTGCCTCTGCCTTTCTTAACACAAGTCGAATCTAAAATATCTACTCTCCTGATTAGATGATCAGATGATCGACGTTTAATGTGACCAAACCATTTAAGATGACTTTCTTTGATTTGAAATTTGCTCGAAGTTTTTTTTTTCCATATTTGTGAATTATCAAAATTATATCACGTTGATTGGTTTTTTAATAAATTTTTACTTTTCGAGCAAAAATAATATGCTATTTATTTCTGAGTTCTTTGATCTTAATTTGAAACATTGATAGCTACATAAGATGTAGAAATCACCAAAAAGCTTAATTAATTTGTCCTGAAAATATGTAATAAATAATTTAAATTTATTTAAGGTTGTTTTTTAACCGTGTTTATAATATATTAGATTTTTCTCTTGAAGCCAAGACTTTGTTTGCATACTTGGGATTAGAGTGGAAGGAAATGAACTCCCAAAATTATATAGGTGCATTTAAATACATAACACTCAATTCTTATGTATTTAAATATCTAACACCTGAACATTCATATTTTTTATGCAAGCCATTTTGACAGTCGTTGAGAGCTTTGTCTTTTAACAAAGAGGTCCCTTCAAGACCTTGCATATGCAGTGTGCATGGTTTTAAGTGTTCGTGTGAAAAAAAAAAAAAAACCTGAAAATTCATATTTCCATACATGTAACTCAAATTTTTAACGTTACATAAAAAATATCACTATCATTATCTTTTTAAAAGTAAAATATAACTTTTGATGCATAGGTTTACGATGCAAAGGTGTTTGTTGTCAGTGTAAATAGTAAGTTTTAGGCATTGGATATGTAAATCATAAAGAATAAATATTTCGAGATTCATAACCAACCAACTCCTTGTTTGTTGTATGAAAACAAAGCCTACGAGTTACAACATAGCAAAACTGCGTTGCTGATATTACTATAATCTCCTGAGAACTAAAGTTTGTTGAAAACCAATAAGCCTTGGATCCTAACTAGCATTAGGCTTCTGTCTCAGGTTCCAGCTCTGCAAAGATTCATGAGAGCCCGCGGCCAGCTGCAGCACCAAGCCGGCGTCCAAATCACCTCTTCCACCATCTACACCTCAACGTTACACATCGCTAGGGTCAATGTCAGGAATGCGAGCATCGGAACCATCAATGGGATCCAAAATCCCGTACCTGTCACCGCCGTTCCGCTCCTGCCGCAACCTCAAAACACTACCGGATCTCCTGATCAACCTGCCGCCGGCAATGTTCCTGATTCGATGACAAACCATCTCCGATTCCCCGGCTTGAATCCGCAGCAAGCCGGAACAGCGCCCGTTTCCGGCTTCCTCAACCCCTTCGGGTCCTTCTTGCTCTGGATATTGGGCGGCGGAGCTTCCGACGGCATCATATCCTTCTTCTCCATGTTCAGAGATGTGCGAGACGCCGATCACGGCCAGGATTTCGCCCCGCCGGATAATGAGCCGGCAAGGCCGGATCAGCACAACTGACTGGACCTGGTAAGTCCCGTTATGCACTTTTGGCTCTGAAATGCAAAGACTGCTTCATTTGATGTTTATATATAGTTGTGATCCACGATGTTTGAAATATTTTGTAGAAAATTTAGGGTACTACACAATGATATATGTATACTTGAAATGTTTGTGTTTGATGAATAGCCTTTCTTTTCATTTAGCACCATGATTATGGTTTTCATGGCTTCTTTTTCTTCATTTCTTCTTACCACATAATTAATTGTTTTTTCTTTATTTTGGAACTAGGGGGTGTCGGTTGGGGTGGTTTGGGTTCGATATGTCCTGAAATCGATTCGATCCGAATATGTTTTGGCTTGAGTTTGATCCAAATAATTTGACCTGAACTCTCCTAATTCGAATCCGGACCGTATAATCTTCTCATTATTTGGATCATGTATTTTCTTAATTCAATATGACCCAATTAACCCGACCAGAATGCGAAAAGTTATCGTTTCACTGAGTTATTGGACCGAATAAATTTAAGTATATAATTTGAATTAAACCTTGATTGGAATGGTATGGATGTGAATAAAAAAGTAGGGGGCATGTACATACATACACACACAAGCTTAGTGCCCAAACTTTTTACATTCATACCATCTAAATCCTTAACATCACAACTTTTTTAGTAGTGAAATGCACCTTTTCATGCATAGGGTATATTTATATGCCATCCTTGACTTTGCATGAGATGTATTTTACATTTTTAGAAGTTCAAATAGTGGAGTTTATTATTATTATTATTATTATTATTGCTATGAAAGATTTCGATGGTATAAATATTAAAAAAATAAAGTTTAGATATTGATATGTAAATATAGAAAAATTGGGAGGTATGTATGGAAATGCTCCTACATATTTTGATGTCCTTTTTTTCTTGCATTATATATATATATAATAGGATTGATCAGAGGCTAATACGAGCCTCCAATTACCTCTAATATGCCTAACAATTTGAGTACCACCTCTTTAAAGCTACTAATGTCAGAGGGGGTTCTAACCCCCGGCTTGAGAGATCTTTTATTGCGGATGCCACATAAATAAGACTGTCAAAAGTTTCACGAACACCTCTTGTTGGGTTCGTTAAGAAGCTCGTGTTTGGCTTATTTGCTAAGTTAACGAGTCAAGCACGGACAACACGAACAAAGATTTGTTCGTTCGTGTTTGACTCGTTTTGGCACGAAATACTGCTCATCAATTATATATATACAGGGCTACAAAGATTTAATTGGCTACAAAGATTTATAATCAATTAAAAGTATTAATTAAGAAAATAGAATAAAAATTATTAGATTAGATTCAAATGATGTTTTAATATAAATAATATTTTTTAAATCTTGCCTAAACCCTAAATATCTTATGGCTACGTGATTAAGGTTGTCAAAATGACTCTTTATTCGTGAACAACTCGTGTTCGGCTCACTAAGCAAACAAGTTGAACACGAAAACACTTTTTAAACTCGAAATATAAATGTGCATAACACAAGCTAAGCCCAAGCTTGCTCGTGTTCGGCTCATTTACACACCTACACATAAAAATATATATTTGATGCCCGTCATTTATTTAATAATTCGTCTGAATTTGTTTTTATGAATGATATAACTCATTTTCATAAAGCTAAGTTTCGCTTTAATTTAATTTTGGTCAAAGCTGGGAGATTATTCTGTTCAGCTGGCTTATTATTTGTCTCTTCCTTGAGATTTGTTTATTACAAATTTCAAGAGGCAAAATAGGATTAGGTAAGTGGTGATGGTGGGATTTATCAGTTCAAATTGACTAATTAATTTATATATCTCACCTCTTATGGATTTACCTATTTAACATCTACATATTGTTCTTTATATTTGTAACAATTTGGTGTTATAAATCATTGTATAAGAAAAAGACGTGCTCGGCTTTCAATAAGTTGGGTGTTGACATATATACACGCAATTCTTAGTGTCGCATAACTCGGTCTGTTGGTTGGCATTCAGGATATAAGATCCCTTATGTTGAGGGATTGAATCGCACAATTGGCATTAAGGAGGTGGTACTCGAATTGTTAGACACATTAGGGGTGGCTGGAGACTTGTATAATAGCTTCTAACCATTCTTTTTTTAATATATATAGTTAAAAAGATTGATCAGCGGAGACCGCCGATCCGATCAACCCCTATAGGTTGGATTGAACTAGGGTTACACTCTTAATACTGGCAATTAAACTGCTCTTTTTTTTGTAATGATTACATTACTTAATATATGAATCTCGATTGTATTTCAATGCATTTAAATTATAATGAAACTTATAATATTAATAGAATACAATATATCTTATTTTTTACACTTTTTTGAAGTAATTTTTTGTTTCTTAAGTATTAAATATATTGTTCTGACAGTTATATTTCAAACAACATTATTCTACATGGGCAGAATGATCATTTATTCAGAAACAACTGCAAAACAGTTATTTTCCAACAACAAAAACCAAACAGCTAACCAACTTATGTGTTCAGCAGATTATCTGAATCAACTGCTTATTAATTTGGTGCAACTTCCCCAAACAGACCCTTAATATATGAATTTGGATTGTATTAATGAAACTTATAACATTAATAGAATGCAACAATCTATTAACTTTATTTGATTTTTATAATTACTCTTTTTTTTATACATATAGTTGATAGAATTTGGTTGCATATTTTGCCTACAAATCATATGAAAATGCTTATTAAAAAACAAGGTTTAGGGTATGATTGTAATTTGGAAAAAAAATATGGAATTTTTTAGATGGATACAAACAAAATAGCCTAATAATCCTGGCAAACACATGTATTTATGTATTTAACACCTAATTTTTAATTTTGACCTTTTAGAAGCCATGGCCTGAGTTTTTGGCATGATATGAAAGATTACGATGGTATAAATATAAATATAAATATTTAAGAGTTATATATGTAAATACATGAGAATTTGTGGCTATTATTGAAACAATTCTGTAATTACATACCTATCAATCTCATCTGAGAGAAGATTTATGGTCCACAATACATAATTTAATTTTTGTCCGATTCGGGCACTTTTGTAATAAATAAGAAAAAAGGTAATTACACGTGCAACAGTTCGTGTTCGGTTCGTCAATGAGTTTGTGTTCGATTCGTTCGATAAGTAAACGAGACCAACGTGAACAATTTTTTTTTTGTTCGGTTAGTTAAACGAACCAAACACGAACAGTGATGCATTCGTTCGTGTTCGAAACGTTATTGTTCGAAATATAAAAGAATTTAAAATAATTATATATAAAAAATATATGATATATTAAAAAATTAAATTTTATAAATTATAATATATAATAAATTAATAATATAATAATAATATATTATATTAGTAATATACTAATATAGATATATATTTATATAATATAAGTTATATAATTAATATAATATATTATTTATATATATTAATATTAGGGATGTCAAACTGGCTCGTCGTTCTCGAACAGTTTGTGTTCGACTCTTTCGTTAAGAAGACGAACAGTGACCTCATGAACAATTTCGAATACGTGCTTATTTCAAGCAAATTAAATTTCAAACGAACCGAACACGAACACAAGCTTTGTTTGCTCGTGTTCGGTTCGTTCACACCTCTACTCCTAATGTGTCTAATAATTCAAGTATCATCTCCTTAAAATCAACTGTGTCAGAGGGGATTCGAAACCCCGACCAGAGGGAAAAATGTTAATTTATCATTTCAAGCATGAGTTGAAAGACATTTTGGACTGAAATTTCTAAGAATTAAATATGGAATCATCTGAAATTTGATTTTAATAAATTTGTGGTCAAACCAAATATCTAGATAATACAAATCTAATGACATAAGAATTAAGTTAAATAATTTATGATGTTAACTGAAAAATTAAATAGTTATTCATTTTCTCATGCTGACATTCAAAATGTGTTTCTCAGTTAGTGAAAAATTAATTAAGAAAATTTAAAATAAACACAACTTCTTTGATGGCGGTTTTGAATTTTAACTCATATTCTCCATATTAGGGGGGTATGTATTTTCGTTCTTTTTTCTTTTTATTTTTAAAGGGATCATCAGTTTGTTCATCGTGGTGTACTTCCTTTTTTTCAGAATAAGTCACTCTTTTGGATCATATGAATGATCATGAGAAGAAATGAACTGAAAAAACATGACATAAGACAAAAGCGGACAACAAAAGAGAGAAAATGGAGAACTTCAATGTGGCAAAACTCGTTGGGATAGGTCAAGCATATATGTTTGAATAAGATAAGATTGAAATAGCATGTGTCAAATATCCGTGAAAGAATATCTACGAAAGCTAAACACAACCAGAGATTCATTTGTGTTTTCCTGTTATGGGGTCGAGAGTGCTCCCAAGGAGACCTATCCCACTTAGTTAATGACATTTTGGGGGTTGCACAAGAATATTTTTTATCCAAATAGCACAGGGCTATCAAATGATTGTTATTTCGCATGGGAATAATGTGATGATTTCAAAGCTCGTACTAAGCTACATAGCGGATTGTGAATTTCTCACAGTCTCATATAGATAATGGACTCATCGGCATACGGAGCCTGCAAAATAAGTAAGTTGTCCTGACGAGAAATCCCAATACATCAAAGCAGATCGGGGCCATAAGACAGAAGATGAATCGTCTTATGCCAAATGAGTGGCAACTCATCAGCAATCGGCTTGTCGTACGAAGGCAAAAGAAGCGACATGGCTCAACAACGATAGTTAAAGGAAGGGATGAGTAATCCTAAAAGGTAGAGGTAGAGGTAACCAGGTAAGAGTGCCACGGACCCGTCATCTTAAGCTACTAGGACCCTAAGTCAACCTGGTCGTGAAGGTAATCGACCCAACACGTCTAGAGATCCACGATCAGTAATCTTTGAATTGCGTCATCCTCGAGGACCTTGCTAGCCTTAAGGTCAAAGGAGTGAAACTCTATTATATGACTATCAGGTGGAGCCCCAAGAGGTGTGGCTCAACATCTTTAGCATCACTAAAATGTATAGCTTTAGAAACAAGTGAAAACTAACTCTTGAAGCTTTATGATAAATAATGAATTATATTTTATGGCCATTTACATACATACAATGATACAACCTAATTCTTATGTATTTTCATACATAACACCAATATTTTATTTTATTTTTACATTTATACCCTCCAAATCTTCCATGTCACATAAGAATATCACAAGTTTAACTTTAAAAAAAGTGAAATATACATTTTCATTCATGGATAAGGTGGCTTTTATATAAAAAATGAAATGTAGTTGTTCCATATGTAAATACATAAGAATTGAGGGGTATACATGTAATTCTTCCTAAAATAATTATTAATTGATATACTTGATTCTTTTTCTATTCATTTCTTATTACTTGATACAATTGAAGAATAATTGAAAAAATTAATTAAAAAATAAATGAATAAAATCACATAGAAGATTTGATTCATAGAGTATAGTTTTAAAATGCCAATAATAATTTTATTTTAAAAAAAAACAAAGGATTACATGTCAAGTACCAAAGAAAATATTCCGTCCGAGCGGCCAACCACCAGCCATCATGTCGTCATACAAATCATCGGCAGGAAACGTGGTGGCCAGTGGTTGATCGTCCAGATGAAACATTTTTCATATCAAGGGATATCTTGAAAGCTCGTCATATATACATAAAAGTTATTAAATAAATAAATAAATAAAATCAAAGATAGAATATTGGACTATTTATTTATTTATTTATTTTGGAAAGCTTGGCGTTTGTGGCTATGTAGATCCTGAGTCTATGGAGAGCATCACATGTTGATTTGGCTTCATCTGATGACTTTTTTAATTTATAATTTTATTTATTTGACAATTATTAAAAAGAATTATTAATTTAAGCATATTTAGTATGTGCATGCAATTTAGTCTTCATTGTTTATTTTTTTTAATACAACAACAGACTTAATCTCACTACGTGGGGTCGGCTACATGAATCCTTTTTCTCCCTTGCGTCCTATTTAGTGTCATATTTTCATTTAGTTCTAGTAAATTAAGATCATTTTTTAATACAATAAGCCCAAGTCTTCCTAAGTCTACTTCTGCCTTTCTTAACACAAGTCGAATCTAAAACATCTACTCTCTTAATCAGATCATCAGATGATCGACGTTTAATGTGACCAAACCGTCTAAGACGACTTTCTCTAATTTTGTTTGTCACAGGAGCTACACCAACCCTATCACAAATATATTCATTGCTTATTTTTTTTTAATGACATTATTATTCAAATAAGAAAAATGACATCTGAAAATAGAGGGGAAAATGAAAATTTATTATTTTTTATTTGTAGTTTATTTGATACTTGTTATTTATATTGAAATTTTTTTTTTTTGAATTAGATGGAGAATCGTCTGATCTTTGATTTTAATAAATTTATAATTAAATTGAATGTATTGATAAGACAAACCTAATTGTACATAGAAAAAACCACAAGCACGAATCCCGAGGAGATATAAAGACCCAAGCACAACAAGAGGTGTCAAAGAAAGACTCATGCATCTGATTTGAAGCATCAAGATCATAACTAAGCAAGTCTGTAAAAGCAGCCCGAATCTACGAACATCCTTGCGACATAAGGGGAAGAACTAACACCTCGGGTCCCATAATTCAACAGGAGGTATTTAGCAGCCTCCCCGAACGTCGTTAAAAGTCAGTAAGGCTAATCTCAACCATCCCCCAGGACCTCTTCGTCCGATGGCATCTACTTATCAAATAATGATGATGCACTCCCTGCCCGATAACCTAGCTCCACTCAGCTGACAGGAGCTCCTTCTTAGCAATTGAAAGTTGGCAGACAAATCTGGTCAACCGACCGAGCCCACTTAGCTGATTTTGGTGACCTCAATGCCAGTAAGAATCTAGCAAACCGACAGTCGTCATACTAGGCCAACCAACCGGTCTCTCTTACATAGCCAACCGACAACCGTCATACTAGGCCAACCAACCGGTCTCTCTTACATGTTGTCTGTCAATGGGCTCGTCATTCTAGTCAGTCGAGCCCCACGTATGTAAAATATCTATACTAACTTGTACAACCCCCAACAAAGCAGGGGCACATTTGTAAATTCACACATGAGGCACCATTTCTTTATAAATAGAGGATCATTTCATGAGTAAAAGACTACACAATCTAACAAAGAAGCTCAACTTATTTACACCCTTATCAGCAAGGTCCTGCAAAATAATAATTTTGCATTCAGCACCTATATAAAAGCCTTGAAATTTCAGAGTGTAAAAAAAAGTTTCAGAAACTTGAATTTGCTGCCTGCAATATATTAAGATTGTTGAGCTGATCAGAAGAGCGTGGCCGCATAGGCTACAGGCAATGTGAGAAATTTCTTTGCCTTCCCAACGTACGCACGAGTTGTGAAATTATTATAGTCATTTGCTTCTATAGCATCTAATATCTGCCTGTACAGCATCAGAGATGCCGTAACCTGCCAACAGAGAAAACCATAAATCAAAACCCCTCATTTTAAAGTGAAGAATCTCAAAATGTTAAGAAAAAAAAAATTTTGTAAGATGAAGATTCATTGTTAATATGATGTTATGTCTCATACCGGCCATCGACTTGCCATGTCGAGCTCTGCGATGCTGCTCTCGGCCTCGTCGAAGAACTTTCTCGCACGTTGAATCTGGCCCTTCATAAAGCATCTCCATTTATCAGTGACTTTCATTCCAAATACATCTTTTTCGGATAGACCCGCCGACTCGAGCTCGTCTTGTGGAAGATATATTCGTCCCCTACAAGCACTGAACATATGCTCGACATTAAGAACCTATAAGTTATAACATATGCGTTAAAAATGAGTAATATGAGAAAGTCTAAGAACTAAATGGACATTTTTGTAAACTCTGGAACTAATGGTACATTTGGGATTGCTGCAGTTATTTGAAGAAACAGCTGTGAAGAAGTAGCTGCAGAAGAAGCTATTGTTCAAAACGTTATGGTGGCTATTACAAAAAAATGATTTTTCAAAAAGTCACAAAGTAACTTTCTAGCAGCCACCATTCTTAGCCAGGTTAGGTTGCAAAACGCAATTTTAAACCATAGTTTTTTTGACCAAAAAGTGCGCCATGACATGCACTCCCACCACGCCACTACTCCAAACTAGGTTGCAAAACGCAATTTTAAACCATAGTTTTTTGAAAAAACAGGCAAAACACAGTTTTGTCAAACACCAAAAAGTGCGCCACGACACTGCACTGCCACCACCCCACTACTCCATAAACACCGTAAAATGACATGCTGCAAAGAATCAGTAGACTATTTTAACGCTTTTTTCAAGTCTAAATACGTACTCTTCACCTACATCCCGAAGAATGTTTGTGAGTTGATTGGCGATCCCAAGGGATAAGGCGGCATTATAAACGCTCGCGACCGACGCCTTCGAGCTCGGGGCGATGCCCATAACTGGGACACACATCAGCCCCACAGTCCCAGCCACATAGTAACAGTATAGATAGAGCTCATCAAAGCTAAAATACTTTGGCTTTCTTAAATCTTGTCTCATTCCTTCAATCATGTCCTTGAATGGCTGCATAAAAGGAGAGTTGTATATGAATGCGATAATAAAAATCGCTTTTTTAACAAATTTACATGTATACCAATCAATTCTTATGTATTTACACATCTGAAACCAAAATTTTTATGTGATATGAAAGATTTAGGTGCTATAAATCTAAAAAATTAAAATTTAGGTGTTGGAAGTGCAAATAAAGACAAGTTCAGTGGTATGTATGTAAATGCGGCCTTATTTTTTGAAGATTTACATGCACAAGACTCAATTCTTATATAGGTTTTTACATATCTAACACCTAAACCTTAATTTTTACACATGCCACCTTAATTATGTATGGAAAATGGGTGTTTCACATTTAAAAAGTTGAAATAGAGGTATTTTGATGTCATATGAAGGATTTGGGTGGTATAAATGTAAAAATATAATTTAGGTGCTAGATATTTAAATACATAAACATCAATTTTTGCACATATGCCACCTTGTCTATGCATGAAAATGGAAAGATTGAGCCGAATAATTGCAAAACAAGAAAAATTTGCGCAAAATTGCAACTTTCATGTAACCTGAATATCAATGGGGAATCTTGCAACGGTATCCGATAGGGCGGAGTCGAAGAGATCGTATGGGCGGCCGTCGAATAGGTCGGCGAGTCTTCTCTCCCAGCGGTCGAGGGCGGCCGGAGTTGTGTGGGAAGAGTTTGGGCCATCCACAAGCTCATCAGTTCTTCTGCACCAGACTGAACATTACAGAGAAGAGTTCATATGATATACTGGACATTTACATATACATACCACCCCATTTCCGTGTATTTACATATCTAACACCTAATTAATCATCAATGGTATATATGTAAAAATTGAAGTTTAGGTGTTAGATATGTAAATCTTCCAAATATATATCTGAAATAAGGCTCAAATACATACCATATATCGCCCAAATTGCTCTTCGCCTCTCTTCAGTCATGAGCATTGTTCCTATAAAGTAAATGTAAAGAATATCTTCATATATGGACAGATATGTAATACTTCTTTTGCAGAAAGAAGATTATTTGGAACATTTTCATAATATTAATTTTATGAAAAATATAAAAATTATTTTAATTATCAAATTTAAGTGAAGCTTAGAATAATTATATAAATATTATTAAAAAAATCTATAATTTCAAAATTTAAAGTGTTAGATGTATAAATACGTAAGAATTGTGTGGTATATTTGTAAATAAGTGCAAATATGAAATTTTGAACGTAAGATCTGTAAATACATAAGAATTGAGTGATATGTATGTAAATTTCCGAAAAAAAAAACAGAACTCAGCAATAAAAACAGGAACTTTACCCAAATAGAAAGTCTTGGCGAACTCCTTACAGACCTCGCCGCACCTCTCGTAGGCCACATTCAACATATTTGAGTTCGCCGGAGTTGATAACTCAACGGCGGCGGCGTCGGCGGCGGCGATTCTGTTCCAGCGGAAGTTCTCTCTGGCTAAAGCCGCCTGCTTTATCACCGCTTCATGGATCATCTCCTGAGAAGTCCCCATACTAAACGTCTCCGCAGAGCTCGGAAGCAGAGCGGCCAAAGGTGAGATTTTTTTTAAAGAGAAGGAGCGGAAGTTGATCCTTTGGAGCTCCTTCTTCCTCCCCTGAAAACTCCATTTGTTCTGCAGAATAAAGCTCTGCGCTTTCTGCTCTGATGAGGGGACCCGACAGAGAAAACTCGCCATTTTTAATGGTTCTTTGAGGTTTGCTGTGGTTTGACCGAATGGGGGAGAAGATGATTGTATTTAATTGAGAGCGGTGGAAGCAGAATATCTGCCGGCCGTTTGTTTCTTTTTTAATTTTTAGTTTATATTCATGACATGCAATTTTTATAAATTTGCATAAAATTTAATATTTATGTATATATTATATAGCACTCTAGTTTTATAAGCACATCAGTCTTTTTAAAAATAGGATTAATAATATACATACCACTTAATTCATATATATTTATATATCTAACTAAAAGTTAAAATAATAATATTTTTAAAAAAAAATTTAATTGATATGTAAATAAATAAAAAACTTAGGTGGAATGTATGTAAGTGCCCCCATTTAAAAAACCGTTGCAAACCCAACGGTCCTCAAGCTCACCCCCACCCACCCACCCACCTCTTGAAATGCAAACACCTCTCCCCCAAAAACTCATCTCCTTCCACCGATTCAAACTCCCCTCCTCCCTCCTCCCCTCCCGCCCCTCCCC